CAGGATGGACATCGCAAGGACAAGTGTGAGCAAAAACCCAAGCCCAGATTCCAGAAAGCCGAAACGATAATAAGAGTGGGCAACCGCCCGGAGCCACAATCAAAATGTATGTACACAGATGAAGAGGGGGAAGAGATAAAGAAACAGCAAATCCACGTCCATCGACCTCAACTCTCTCCTCCTCTCTCTCTCTCTCTCCGATGCGGACAGTCCGTCGTCGCGCAACAACCCACGAAGTTGTCACCCCGCTTAGTCCTCCCGCACCCGTCGGATTCGCCCGTGCCCACAGTCCGTCGTGGCCCACGTCAATCCCATGCGTTCAGCACCAGCCCGTCGGGTCGCCCAACTCCTACTCTACTCACCTCTTACTTCGCTCGTGTGCCGACCCTTCCTGATCGCGCAACCCCGAGCTTCCAACAACGGGTTAAGAGAGCTGACTAATCGCGCAACCGAAATTTATAGCGTGCATGCATGCGCGAAGAACATGGAATTACCAGGACTTAGAGTGAGGATTAGAGAGGGAGCGTCTGCGTTCTGCATGATCGACCGCGGCGTGGGGGACGTAACCCTTCTCCACGCGTCGATCCGAGCATGCAAACCGCGGCTTACAAAAATTTCAGCAAAAGAAAGAGAGGGAGGGCGGGAGAGATGGAGTGCAAGAAGAAAGATACAGTTACAATGGCGCCCGCCCAAAATTACAGTTACACACACGATTAAGGGCGCCCACTAATCAGAGTACCGTTGCGGCCGCATGAAGAAGCGCGTAGACAAAAGGCGCCGCGCGGCAGGAAAAATCCTAATTACTGAATTCCTAAATTCCTATCTAATGCGAAAAAGCAAAAAAAGCACAAATTCCAGCAGGAAAGTTCGAAATTTCGAGAGCCATCGAGGGCTCGACAAAATTCGAAAAAAAAAGATTCAAAAGGAAATTAAAAAAAAACGAAGCAATTTCCCGCGCGATGTCCGCGCCCAAAAGATCGAAACCGAATCGAAAGAAACGATGTCAACGTTTATTAATTGCGTGCG